CTGAGATGATATGAGAAATAAATGAGAGAACATTTAGGTGGTAACACTTAGGAAAGAGGGAGGCGCACACAGTAAGGAGTAGAACTGGACAGGTATTAAGAGCTGCTACCACTTGCTGAATCTTTATAAATAGGAAAGTTCTTACTTCACACCAAATTGTACTTCTGAAAGGGCAGCATTACTCAAAACTGAGCGGGAGAGCACCACTGAGTGCACTACAGGGCGCCGCCTGGGTCTGAGCGCTTCGCCCGCTGTGCCCGGGAAGCTGCCCCGCTCTGTGTCACACTGGCCAGCAGCACCCCACGATGCAGACCTGAGAGGGCTTGGTCCAACTCTCAAGCGCTGCTCGGACACATGAGAGAATCTCCTCGTCTGTGCACAGCGAGGGTGACGTGTCAATCGAGTATCCAAGAAGCCACTACGAAAGTAGTACACACCACCAGTAACCCTTAGCGTCACAGAACAGCACCTAGGATCTAGACCCGGGACAGCAGGGGAGCACTCACAGCTTCCTTATAGGGAAATGTCTTACCAGGGCTTGGTTACAATGCTAAGCAGACTCCCCTGGTCAGAAAGGGAAGTCTCCGCATCGCAGGTGAGAGGCTAACCCGGAGGCAACACTCTCCCGGGCCGGGCTGTGACCACATGCACTGAGCGAACGTGTGGGAGGCGTGCAGCAACACAGAGGACGGGGCAGTCACCAGTGGAAGCAGCACCCAGGAGGAACCAGGCCACGTGTGAGAGTGCACACTTGCAATCCCAGCACTGGGGAGGCTGCGACAAGAAGACTGCTGCAAGCTCAAGGCCAGCTCGGGCCACAAAGTGAATTCAAGGCCAGTCTGAACTGCATAGCAAAAACCCTTGAGTTTGGGGGATAGACAGACAGACAGACAGACAGAGAGACTCGTCCCAGGGAGAGAGCCCTGGCCTGCGGCCAGCCAGGTGTGATGCCGCGTGTGGCCTCAGGTAGAGAAAGGCGCGGCCTGGTGCCATGATGTACCTCAACTTTCTGCTTTTATCAAAGCAATGCAGTTGCACAGATTAAAAGCACACAATGGAGGAAAAGTGGTCACCTCCCCTTTCCCAGCAGTCACCTCCTCGTTCCCAGCAGTCACCTCTTCAATGACCTTATGTGCTTGCTCCTGCAGGCACCAACTTCCAGCTCCCAAACTTTCGTTCCCCTTCCTTCTCCCACTGTCGCCTCCCACCACATCACACTCACTTTACTACACTCAATTCAAAGAGCAGGAGAGGGAGAATGGGGTCGGCCTAGCGCACGCGCCTGCACTGCTACTTCCAGGCCCGTGACTGCCTCCCCTTCTTCACACGTCCACTCCCAGGAAGCCTGCTGCGACTACCGCTCTCCCCAGGGCACGTCTCTGAGCTCCGCACACGCTGGTCTGCGAGCCTGGCAGACCCAGTCTCCCCAGAGTGACAGCGCCTCTCAGGATGCTGACGCTCCATCAGGCTGAAAGTCACACAAAGTTAATGGGTCTCAGAAACCTGCTGGAAGAGCACCAGCAAAGCTTCTCCTTTTTATTCACTTTTCCATTATGCTGAGAGTACTTTAACATTTTAATTTTCAACAATTAGAGTTGGACTAAAAGGCCTAAAAATGAACTAGAAGACCACGACGATAAACAGCAAATACACCATAGACAGACAGACCTGACGCTAGCTAAGCTCCACTTGCTGAGTACCGAGGATGTCCCAGGAGTTTCATACCTACTATGGTATATTATTAATCTGCATACCAACTCTGTGCTGTACTTTGCCATTTTATAGACTAAGTTTTTAAGCTGAGAGTCAGAGAACTGCTATGGATGTAAGGTTGCAGAGCCAGCTGAGATAGAAAGCCAGAACAACCTAAATCCAAATTACATGATCTGTATTCTAAAACATACAGTGCCTAAGTATCAATTTGAGACAAATTAAAATGTGAAATTAATCCATTTTAGGCCTGACGAGCAAAATGGTAACTACTAATAACATTTCGAAAATTAGCAAAAGTTCTATTAACCATAAGAATTCAATAATCATAAAAACTTACTGTCCACTTATTTTTAACACTGTCCCTAAATGGCAAGTGGCATCAGAGCGTATTTTATAGTAGGCAACAGCTGTTTCTGTGACGCTGACTTCTATCTAATATCTTGTTGTTCCCGAATTCTCCATTACGCGCCTGTCTTTCGCCATACTATGTCCGTCATCAAGCTCCCATCCCCGCTGGCCCTAAAACAAAGCTCCTGTGTCAGGCAGAAAAGCCCGCGGCCCGGCTGCTGGAGTCCAGGCATGCGATCACTGACTGCCCCTGGGAAAGGGCACGCACTGCCTTCCGGTTCAGAGCAAGGAAATGAAAGCAGTAAGCAGCCGTACCTGGGCCAGCAAGGCCTGACAGCGCACAGCCTGGAACTATTAGCTTCATCCGGACCGGAAGGGCCCTCAACAGAGGAATTGCTGGATACAGCTCTATTTACTGAGAATGTCGAAAAATCAAGCATGCAGGCCCTGCAGCCAAATGCTTACGTGATTCTAAGGAATTTTTTTTTTTTTTTTTTTTTTTTGCTCCTTGAATGCCTTCAGGGCACTTTTGCATGGCTGGAGTGTTGTGGGGGTCGAACTACAGCAAACTGAGGCTGCCAGCATTGTGGAAGCAGCCACTTAAAGAACTGAGCTAGGGCTGGGCCCCCTGCTTACGTGATTCTAATAAAGGGCTGCATGTCAGAATAAAGTCTTTTCATTTTTCCATTTGCATGAGACACAAAATAAATGATAATGATTTGACTCAGAATAGTCACATTCTCAAGCTGCCAAACTAAATTATTTAGTATCTTTTAGAACAGAAAAATCTTTCCCCTAGGGCAGATTTTTCAGAATATTAAAGGTTCTGTTAATTTAGCTCTCCTCTTGCAAGCAGCTGCAATTTTTTTGAAATTGGAGAACGATGGGCTTGCCTCTCCTATAATTGGAAAAAATTCCAATCGCATTAGGTAGAAGCTTTCAAATCACATACCTTTGTAGCCTATAAATTATGGTATTTTCAACCTTTCTGTATGTGAAATTTGAATTAGCCGAAGTACCTTCAAACAGTAGGAAGAAAAAAATGTTTTGAAATAAAAAAGCATTTCACGCTACAAAATTAAGCTAGTCTCTTTAATTTTTGTTCCATTAAGAATGGAAAGCATTTAGCAGCAAAATAAGATGAACTGCAAAAAGTAGGATGCCCTGGTTAATGAAGGTCTTTGGCTCAGTAAGCAAGGGGACACAGGTCTCCACTGGCACGTAATATAACAAGTTCCATGTGGTAACCCGGCAAAGGTTATGGCTCAGAACTGGCCAAAATACATCGGCTTCTACATGGTTCTGTTTGCTGGTCACTTCCACACATATTCTTCTTCGTGAAGCTAGTATATATTTTTTCATTAGGTGGAAGATTTACAATCTTGAGAGTTTTCAAATATTAATCAATTGTTCAAACATCAATTCTGCAGGTCTGGAATAGCTTCCAAAGCCTGAAACTCAAGTGCTTCACACCCAGAAACGGACAGAAAGGAGAGCCAGGGGGACATACTGGGAAGCCCAAGCAGGAAATCTCAGCGCAGCTCCTCGTTAGAGCCTCAGAAGTTGGTCTACATGCTGTAGCTCACAAAACCTGTAGGACAGTTTGTTCTTTTAAAGTCCTTGTTTTATTTTAAGTTACCTAAAAGAAGCTACCTGCCTGGCAAGCACAAGGACCCGGGTCTGATCTCCGGCACCACAATCTGTGCTGGCCAGCCAGTGAATTACATGCCTGTAATCCCAGCAACGGGGAGGCTGAGACAGGAAGATCACTATGACTCCAAGCTGCACAGTGAGACCCTGAACCTAATTAATTAATTAATTAATTTTAAAAAATTTAAAAGACGCTACCAGGCTGAGGGGCAGGGCCACATGACTCCTCGTCTCCTCAATGCCATTCCACTCCACAGAGCAGCCCCAAGAGTTCCCTGACAAGTACATAAATGATTCAGAACAAGCCAGCCCACTGTTCCAAGACACAAAAAGATGGTCAGGAGTCTAGAGAAGTCACTCTCCTAGCCCCCAAAAGTCGTGTTTGTCCCAAGCAGGTAGGCATGGGCACTTATCTCCTGACCTCTCCAGTTCTAACACACAATTCTGAGTGGCTTCAAGTACCAGCCATGTACAGTGGAAAAGAATAGAAAAACTGACTCAAAACTTTAGGGTTCAACTACAGGACTTCACACTCAGAAAACTGACAGGAAGGCACAACACTTTCTATCTCATCTTTTTTAAAATAAGAGCCAGACTAGACTTGATGTATTCAAACCATCTTTTGCAGAACCCCAAGTTCACAGTTATCTCCAATGGAATGGGCTCTGCTTGCTGTGATTCTGTCTCATTAAGCAGGCATCTACAAGTCCAGGAAACAGTGCACTCCCTCTGACTGGTGTGGCCAGCATCTCTTGCCACATGTTCTCATTCCCTTAGCAAATCTTTGGTTTCAAGGTATCAAACATCCTAATTTGGAGAACTGCTGTTTCTGAATAGACAAACCATAGCCACTACCAACTTCACTATTAATACAGAGAAAAAGATTAACAGGGACTAAATGACAAGCTCTTTTTTCTACCAAACAACAGCTGGTAGTGGCATTTTGAAGCAGAATGTACTGTCCCCTCATTATTCTTTCCTCCTTGTGCCTGCGACTATTTGTGTAGTTCATATGAATGGACACGTTTGTTCTTCTCCAGGGTGAAGATCTTTGGTAGAGAGAGGACTCACTAGTTACACCCAGAGCCTGCGCAGGCTTCTCAATTATCTATGCTCCACGCTGACTGGAGTTGACCACAGCAGGCCCTGACTGCTACCCAGCAGAGTCCAGGCCTTTGGAGATGAGTTTCACTTCTGAGGCCACAAGGATCAGCGCAGAGTCGATGCAGTGTTTCCAGGTTCCCTCTCTGGACCCTGACATGTGGCAAGATGGATAAAGAACGCCTTACTTGGTTATCTCCTCTTCTTAGAAGAATTCTAAATTCTTCAGGCTGTCACAATGATTCAAGTGGAGGATGATGTTAATTAAGAAAACAGGGCCGGAGAGATGGCTCAGTAGAATAAGCGCTTTCCTGGCAAGCGCAAGGGCCTGAGTTCAATCCCTGGTTCTGCCAAAAAAAAAAAAAAGAAAGAAAGAAAGAAAAGAAAATAACTTAGGCTCCTTGGCCAACTGAAAGTCTCTTCGGCTGTCTTGTACTTGCTGCCTTCAAAATTTAAAAAACTCAAAATTCTGCCAGTCTAGATTTTTTTTTTCCCCAGCAAATTTCAAACTAATTTCAAAACACTCATTTTCATTAGACAATTAGCTTGTAAATACTGGATACTTTTGGTTCCAAGTTGGCTTTTGCATTTAAAAAAAAAAAAAGGAAAACAAAATTAAAACGTTTTAAATTGTGCTGGGCATTTATTTTGAATATCTAAAGTTAAGAAACACAACTTTCTGGGAATACACAATGTCATAGCTCTGAAACTGAAAATGATTTTAAGCAGCAAAGCCACTGCACATCAAGTAATGCCCAGCGACCAAATGGCCGGAGTGAGCCCTGCAGGACAAACGCTACACGGCTCTCCCAGTGCACAGTGCAGACAGCAGGGGCAGGGGCTGTGGTGGGTGACGCAGTTCCTCATTCCAGTGAAGCTCGAGGCCCAGAGGTGACCCGCCTCGCGGGGAGGGCAGCTCCAGCCTGGGACCAGTGATCATCAAACCTTCAAGAATTCAAAAACTCACAGATACCTGAAAAAACTCTGGACTCACTCCCTACAAAAACACAACTGTCAAAATTATGCGCACAATTCTGAGGTCCTCAGGCCCTCTGAAGAGCACTAAAGAGCTCGGGTCAGGAGTCTACAAGGCAGAAGCACGGGTCTCTCAAAGCAAGATGAAGGCACAGACCTCTCAAAGGCAGGAAAGTCTAAAGAGAAAATGGGAATGTGCAGGGGTGTGTGTGTGTGTGCGTGCGCGCGCGCACGCGCATGCACAGTACAGACCTCGAGCAACAGAAAAACAGTGGAAAGATTATAAAACTACACAAAAGTAAACACAGAAGTAACGAGGGTATGCAGCAGACAGGGAAAAAAAAGTGCTGTCTGCACGTGCCGCTTCTCCACGCTGCTGCTGCGTGCCTCCCACGTGTCCACACATGCAGGGACCACTTGGGAGCACCACGGCCACATCACTCATGCAGAGGCCTATGCAGCACCCTGCCCGCCAGCACCACTCTGACAGCCCAGATGGAGACGCTGCCTTCCGACCTTCAGCAGTCACGCCTGCTGCCCTCTGCGGCTTGGTTCTCTCTGGAGACGATTCCCAAATAATCAAAGAGACATGAAAATATATTGTTGTTCTTAATGGACACTGTTCCAAATCCTCCACTGTATTCTCAAGTGAGATCTAAAATTGTGATCTTCATTCAAACGGAAATGGCACCTTTATCTAAGTCTCTGATTTTCTAAAATTCTGTAATTTTACTTGCCAAAATACGTCATGTGCCTTTGCCTGGTCCCCTGAGCATACAGAACCCAGCCTAAAGCTGCCCACATCTGGCTCGCCCCCCCCCCAGGGCCTGGCGCTACTTCACCACAGTGCTGAGTTGACTGCCACAGCGTCACTGTAGCTGTTTGAACAATACCGTTTCGTTAAAGCTGCCTCCCCAATCAGAGATACACGTTTCAGCTAGATTGATCTTGAAAGGTTTATGTGATACAGATTTGCTCTACTGCATCTCGGTGTGGTTTTCATTTAAAGTGCCTCTTTTTGTATGAATACTGAGTTTACAAGTAACCTCATTCTCCAAGTTCCAGGAATTGATATCTTTCACATGGTTAAGGGTGAAAGGCAGAATGTGTGTTTCCACACTGGGTTATTCTTTAATAAGCAAATGACCAAAATGATCTTGTCATAGTATGGAACAAACACAGCCTACCTTATAACTCAGACACGCGTGTGAGGCTGAATCTGCGAGTCCAGTGAACTCCAGCTGATGCACGGCCGTGTCACGTGTATTAGAACTGGCCCACAATGCCAGGCCGGCGCTCACCCAGACCAGGGTAAGGAGGAGACTGCAGCAGGCAGAACACCGCAGCACAGCGCCTGTCTAGCAGGTGTGCGGCCCTGGCGCGTGCTCCGTGCCCAACGGGGAGGAGGGGCTGAGGAGCCTGGTGAAAGGGCCTCCTGGTAATGGAGATGTTCTGCATCCCTTTGTGCTGGAAGCTACCTCACTGTAAAGAATTTTCAAAAGGCTACAACTGCGAGCTTAACATGACCACACTTTACTGCACAGACACTGTAACCCAACAAAGTCGGCTAAACTGAAGAGGCACGAGAGTGCTCCCAGACACAGGTCGCCAGGACACCCACAGGTAGGTGTGCCCCACTATCCCAGAGAAGGTGCCTGGACCCAGGATGCTGGCGAGTATGCCACCCTGCCCCCCACTGTCCCACCGAGACCACTGCAAAATGCCACCTGGCAGTGTGGAACCAAGATGCACATCACTAGTTCTCCCTGTTAAGAGCCACCATACTTCACCATCTTCAAAGCTAGTTTTAAACATTTTAAACAGCATGTGTATGGAAGGGTTTTCACTGTAGCACTGTTTATGAAATCCAAAGACTGAGAAATGATTTAAAGGTCTGTTCAAGGGCACTAAACAACACACTGTCCATCCAGGCAAGTGTCATGAGGCACTCACAGACACTGCGGGGCATGAGTCAGAGCAGCCGCAGGAGCCCCGTCAGGATCAAAGATCAATACCACTCTCCCGAGACAGCAAGGACACAAGCCAGTCCTCCAGGGACCTCTTACCTCCTAAGAAGGAAAGCCAAACTGGCCCACACGGCTCGGCCCCTGCTCCTCTTGGCCAACTGAACTGGCCGTCAGGTCCCATGGCCTCTTTTCTCAGATACTCACTGGGCGGGGCCCTTCTTGTTTATTTTTTTAACTTGCACTTATTTACTTATTGGCTGCAGGGCTTCACTATGCAGTTCACACTCCTAGGGATCCCCTCGTCTCGGCCTCCCCAGGGCTCGGGTCACGGGCACGTGCCACCACACAGGGCTCCAGGGCCGACACGTACACTCAGCGTTCCAGCGCTGGTGCAGCCTGCAGTACCAGGCAGCCAGGCCAGGCCTCTGCGCTTGCAGGGCAGGCAGGCGCTTAGGCTGCTGAGCTCTCCCCAGCCCAGGGTCCTTCTTGTCACTTCAGTCTCCACTGGAAAATCAAGACCTGGTGAGATTGATGTGTCTCAAAATAAAAATGAAAATCGTTAAAGGCTGTGGAGGTGGCTCAGTGTGAAGGCCCCGGAGCAGGGGACCTTATCAGAAGGACACAAAGTACTGCATGTGTTTCATTCTGCTTCCTTGCCACGTGGCACGGTGCCACATAATGCATATTTTATATTCAGAAAAACTCCAAGTCTTACTTAAAAACAGCTTTGAAAACTGGCTCATGGCCTATTTGTAACTGACACTGAAGCTTAACTACCTTTCCAGCAAAGTCACACTAACTCCAACATACTCTGGGGTCAGTCATTAAAATGTTTTTGTTTCAGTTACACTACTAATGAACACCAAGTGCTGGAATTTGTTTTAGCGGTTTAGTACATCCAGGATTTTCTGAAAGGGAAGGCTAGATCAGCTATCAATTACGTAACTGAAGGCAGATGAGTCCGTGCTGATATAAATGTACTGAAAGATTAAACAGGTAAGCATACCACGAAGCATTAGAAAACGCAACTCAGAAAGCCTGCCCAACTAGCCGCCACGCTTCTTCCTACAAGAACACCAGCGCCGGGCGCTCAGCTCCACTCAAAGTCGTCTCTCCTCGCTCCGTGCACAAGCCGAGCCACCTCCACTTCCCCAGCACTGCAGCGCGAGGTGACACTGCTCTGCTTTAGCACGGAGGAGTATAAAGAATCAAACGGAGCCAGACGGGGGTGAGGGGAGCTTCCGCTCGCCAGTCTGCGGCCGTCTGGGGAGGACTGCTGCAGCGGTGGGATCTCGGCAAACTAACTGAGTGCCACTTTACAAACAGAAAAGCCAAGGCTGCACGACGAGCTGCCCAGAGCACGGTCCAGAGGCACACAGCTGGGAAGGAAACAGGCGGCGCTCGGGGCGTTGCGCCCGCACGAGCCTTCCTGGCCCCACACGCCCGCTGCGTGACCACTGTCGGGACACACCTGCTACTGTTGCTGCCTCTCTGCTTCTACACTGACTCACGGAATAACGTCTGCTTCAGTCCACCTAACAGTGCAAATCAAACACAATTCTTACAATGAAAGCTATAAAATTTCTCAGAGAAATGCTTTTAAGTAATTTCAATTATTTCAGAAGTATCTCTGCCTTTGCTACCTGAATTAATTACAAGTTTCTACTATTTATCCTTCAAAGAATTTCCAACCAGAATTTTCAGATACTGTATTTACAGTGATAAAATTCTATTTCTTTGAAAACTGCTTTAGCCAAGCACAGTGGCACATGCCTACAATCCCAGCTACTCAGGAGGCACAGGCAAGAGAGTGACAAATTTGAGGCCAGTCCAGGCAATTTAGAGATCCTAGTCTCAAAAAATAAAGAATGCTGGAACTGAAGCTCAGTGGTAAGAATGCTTGCCTGGCAATCTCAAGGCCCTGCATTCAATCCCCAGTAGTGCGCACGCGCGCACACACACACACACACGCACGTGCGCACACCCAATTGATCTTTACACTACATTGCATTTGCATGCCTCCTTCACTAGCTAGAATTAGTGAAGTTTCGCCTTCTATCATTATGTATCAAGTAGAGCCAGAGCTCTTTGTAATAGTATTGCTATGCGTAGGAGGTTCTATGTTACAAAGATTCATTGCACCATAACTTTCTAACAATTTCTAAATGTCATTTCCTAAAGCTCATTTATTAACTATGAGTGAACCAACGCTGTTATATTCTTAATGGGCTATTACTCTGAAATCTTATCAAAATAATAGATTCACTGTTACAGAATATAGCTTTATTGCCCAAAAAGCAAGTGGGTACACAAAGTTCATCATATAACCAAAAGATTAAGACCAAAAAAAAAAAAAAAAAAAAAAGTTCTGAGTTGAAAATGCAAGTGTAGGC